TGGGGCTAGATTCACTGATTGTTTCTTTCAGTCAACAGTCACTGAATGTCAAAACCTTCCATTTAATTGGGAGGCACGAATAGGGTCTGCAGGCTGCACTGTGCAGGAGAAGGGGGACTCTCCCTGTTTCAGTCTGTATAGTTTCCTTAAACTTTGAATTCATTGCCTTACCTCTGTGTTCCTTCACCCTGTCCTCTTTATATAAAAGTGGTCATAGGTATTATGTCTACAGACATCACAAGACCAATCACACAACGTCATAATTTCCTCTTTCAATGATCATCCAGACTAGAAAAAATAGTCTAGTATATTTACCCAGACAGTTAGCATTTCTGTTGTTCTTCCCTCATTCCGTAAGTCCCATGTATGCCTCTGGTAGCCTTTCTCTTCTACCTGAAGGACTTCCTTTAGCATTTCTTTGATTGCAGTTCTACCAGTGACAAATCTCAGTTTCGCGAGACAAATCTTTATTTTACCATCATTCCTAAAGGGCATTTTCACTGCATATAGAATTCCAGATTGACAAGTATTTCCCTTGAGTGCTTTAAGGTGTTGCTCCACTGTCTTCTGGCTTCCGTGGTTTCTTTTCTTCTTTTAAGTTTATTTATTTTTGAGAGAGAGAGAGAGACAGAGACAGAGACAGAGACAGAGACAGAGACCGAATGGGGGAAGGGAAGAGAGAAGGAGAGACAGAATCCCAAGCAGGCTCCGTGCCATCAGCACAGAGCCCAGTGCGGGGCTCAAACTCACAAACCTGAGCCCAGCCAAGATCAAGAGATGGACACTTAACCAACTGAACCACACAGGTGCCCCAAGTTCATCATTTTTAGATTCCATGTATGGTTTGTGTGTATCATATGATTTTTTGCTTTCTCTGTCTGACTTATTTCACTACGCACAATGTCTTCAAGGTCCATCCATTTTGTCAAAAAAAAAAAAAAAGCAAGATTTCCTTTTTTATGGCTGAATAGTGCTCTATACTAGATAGATAGATAGATAGATAGATAGATGATAGATAGATAGATAGATAGATAGATAGATAGATAGATAGAGCTAGAGATAGATATAGATATATCACATTTTCTTTACCCATTCATCTTTTGATGGACATGTTGGTTGCTTCCATGTCTTGGCTATTGTGAATAATGTTGCAATGAACATGGTGGGGGGCAATGCTGATATCTCTTCAAGATACTGATTCCATTTCCTTCAGATGTATACTCAGAAATGGGATACCTGGATCATTTCTGGTAGCTCTATTTTATCTATCTATCTATCTATCTATCTATCTATCTATCTATCGGGTGTGAGTAGGGAAGCAACAGAGGGAGGTGGGGGGAGAAGATCTCTCCGTGCTGAGCATGGAGTCTGACACTGGGTTTGATCTCATGTACTGTGAGATATTGATCTGAGCCAAAATCAAGAGTTGGACGCTCAACCAACTGAGCCACCCAGGTGACCCTCTGCCCCTCTTTTAAAATTTAATTGCATTTTTTGAAGAACTTCCATACTGTTTTCCACAGTGGCTGTACCAATTCATAGTCCCAGCAGCAGTGCTCCATATCCTCACCCATATTTATCTCTTTCCTTTTTTCACAATAGCCACGATTATAGGTGTGAGTTGATATCCCTTTGTGCTTTGGTTTCCATTTCCCTGATGATTGAATGTTGAGCACATTTTCATGTACCTGTGGGCCATTTGTGTGTCTTTGGGAAAATGTCCATTCAGGTCCTCTGCCCAGTTTTACATTTGAGTATTTGGGGTTCTTTTCTTTTGGTGTTTGTTTTTTTGCTCTTGAATTATATGAGTTCCTCATATATTTTGGATATTAATCCCTTATTAGATGTATGTTTTGCAAATATCTTCTTCCATTCCATAGGATGTGTTCATTTGTTGATTGTTTCTTTTGCTGTGCAGAAGCTTTTAGTTTGATGTAGTCCTACTTACTTATTTTTGCTTTTGTTGCTTGTACTTTTGGTGTCGTATCAAAAATATTGCTTCAAAGACCAATGTCAAGAAGCTTTTCCCCTATGTTTTCTCCTAGGATATACGTAGTTTCGGGTCTTGTATCTGGGTCTTTAATCCATTTCAAGTTAATTTTTATAAATTGTACAAGGGTCCAATTTCATTCTTTTGCATATGAATAACCAGTTTGCCCAACATTTATGGAAGAGTTTATCCTTCCCCATTGAATATTCTTGGTTACCTTATCAAATATTAGTTGACCATATATGAGGGAATTTGTTTTTGGATTCTTGATTCTGTTCCACTGATTTATATGTCTGCTTTTATGCCACTACCGTGTTGTTTTGATCACTATAGCTTTGTAATATAGCTTGAAATCAGGAAGTATGATGCCTCCAGTTTTGTTCTTTCTCAGAATTGCTTTGGCTATTCAGGGTCTTCTGGGTTCCACACAAATTTTAGGACTGTTTTCCTGTTTCTGTGAAAAATGCCATTGTAATTTTGATAGGGTTTACATTGAATCTACAGATGGCTTTGGGTAGTATGGACATTTTAACAATGTTAGCTCTTACTATAGACATTTTAACAATGTCAGCTCTTCCAATCCACTAACACAGCATTCAAGATTTACTCCCTGTCTTTAGTTTTCCATCAGCTTGATTATGATGTGTTTGAGCAGAGAGGTTTTTTTTTAATGTTTATTTATTTTTGAGAAAGAGAGAGAGACAGAATGTGAGTGGGGAAGAGGCAGAAAGAAGGGGAGACACAGAATCTGAGGTAGGCTCCAGGCTCTGAGCTGTCAGCAGAAAGCCCAACACAGGGGTCTAACTATGAGATCATAATCTGGGCTGAAGTTGGACGCTTAAATGACTGAGCCACCTAGGCGTCCCTAAGCGTAGTTTTCTTTGAGTTTATCCTACTGCTATTTGCTGTAAATGTTGTCTTTCATCAAATTTGGGAAATTTTCAGCCAAATTTTCTTTAATTTTTTTTCTGTACGAATCACTTTCTCCTCTCTTTCTGAGACTTCAATAGCATGAATCATGAACCTTTTGCTATTGTCCCATGATCCTTGAGGATTCTTTTTTTTCTTCACGTTCTGTTTCTGTATATTTTTCAAATTGAATCATTTCTTGATGGTTTACCATCAAGTCCACTATTTCCTATGTCATATCCATTTTGGCACATATCCCATTCAGTGAATTTTTTTATTTCTTATTTTTTAAAATTTACATCCAAATTAGTTAGCATATAGTGAAACAATGATTTCAGGAGTAGATTCCTTAATGCCCCTTACCCATTTAGCCCATCCCCCCTCCCACAACCCCTCCAGCAACTCTCAGTTTGTTCTCCATATTTATGAGTCTCTTCTGTTTTGTCCTCCTCCCTGTTTTTATATTATTTTTGTTTCCTTTCCCTTACGTTCATCTGTTTTGTCTCTACCATTCTGTGATTTTTTAACTCAGATACTGTAATCTTTTGGTTCTGAAATTCCCATTTGTCTGTTTCCATTTCTCTGTTGAGAATATCCATCCTTCCAATTTTTTCTTCCAAATGTGTTCACCTTTCCCTCCTGGAGCATAGTTCTAATAGCTGCTTCAACATATGGGTTATCAGGAGGTTGGCATCTTTTGTGGGTTGTCTTTTTACTTGAGAATTGGTCACATTTTCCTTGTTATTGGTACTTGAACTAATTTTGGGTTGTATTCTGGATGTTTTGAATACCATATTGTGAGATTCCAGGTACTATTAAAATCCTTTGGAGGATGAATTTTGTTGTGTTGGTTTTAGCAGTCAAGCAATCCTCGTTAGGTTCAGACCACAGGTTCTGTCTTCTCTTCTGTCATTGGTAGATCCAATGTCATCTTAGTTTTCAAAGGTTTTGCTTGGTGGGGATGTAAAATGGTACAATGCTCTGGAAAATAGCTTAACAGTTTTTTATAAAAGTAAATATGCACTAACCATATGACCCAGCCATTGCACTCTTGGGCATTTATCTCAGAGAAATGAAAACAATGTTCACACAAAAACTTTTACATGAATGTTCATAGCAGATTTACTTATTTACTTACTTATATATGTATGTATGCATGTATGTATTTACTTTTTAAGTTTATTTATCTATTCATTTATTTATTGAGAGTGAGAGAGACAAGAGCATGAGCAGGGGAGGGACAGAGAGAGAGAGGGAGACAGCAAATCCCAAGCAGGCTCCACACTGTTATCCCAGAGCCCAACATGAGGCTTGATCCCACGAACCATGAGATTATGACCTGAGCCAAAATCAAGAGCCAGAAGCTTAACCAACTGATGCACCCAGGCACCCCCATAGCAACTTAATTTATAATAGCCCCAAACTGGAAACAATTCAAATTCCTTTCCTAGGGTAAATTATTAAAATGAACTCTGGTGCAACCATACAATAGAATATTACTCAATGAGGAATAAGCTATTGATACGTGTCACAACTTGGATGGATCTCATAGGAATTACACTTAGTGGAAAAAGCCAATCTTGGAAGGCTATATATTGTATGATTCCATTTATATGGCATTCTTGAAATGACAGAACTACAGAAAAGGGAACAGTGTTCGTTGTTGCCAGAGGATAGAGCGGGGGATGGGGGTGGATACAAATATGAAGGGACAGCAGGAGAGGGTCTATTTGCAGAGATGGAGCCATTCTGTGTCTTCATTGTGCTGTTGATTCCACAAATCTATATATAAGATAAAATTGCATAGAACTACACACACACACACACACACACACACACACACACACACACAAGTGCATGTAAAAACTGGTGAAATCTGCATAAGGCCTATGTTGTGCCAATGTCAGTTTCCTGGTTTTGATATTACACTACAATTATTTACGATGTCATCATTGGGGGAGCTGGGTGAAGGGTACAGTCCTATGAATCTGTAATTATTTCAAAATAAAAGCTTTTAAAAAAAACTTAGCCATGCTGCTTTGGATCTGTTCTGCACAGCTTGGAGGTGAGCCTGGGGATTTGTGTTAGCTTATCCACAGAATTAGGAATTCCTCCTCCGACTCTCTTCTCTCTGGGATTCACCCCACCTTCTCTGGCTCGCATGGGCTTCCTCTTAGATCTGTAGGTGTTCGTGCTGCTGGTACCAGAGTGTAGGTCTGCAGCTGGGGCTGTCCTCAGGACAGGGGCAGGAGAGAAAAAAAAAGATTAAATAAAGTGAGCTCAAGAATTTCTCCCCCTCCCCCATGCTTCATCTTGCAAAGACCCCAGTCCCAGTCCTCTGGCTAGAGAGTTGGTTTCTCTGCACATTCTACCCTGGAGTTGACCTCCATTCAAAACTGGGAGACCAGAGATAAAAAGAGAAACTGGGAATCTCACCCCCACGATGGGTCATTCTTCAAGTTTTGACTCTTCTCTTCAACATTCCTGCCACTGTTAGCATGTCAGAGTTATATATTTACTTTGTCTTGAGTTTTTAGTTGTAATCAGTGGGATAGATAGACTGTAGTGGTCTTCATCTTAACCAGCATCAGAACCCAGAAATACAACTTTCAACATTTCCAAGTGCCATGTGAGAGCAATATTAATCCCTTCATTTTAAAGATAAAGAAGTTGAGGCTTAAGGAGGTATAGCCACCTGCCCTGGAGAGGTGCCTGGGGGCTCAGTCAAACATCTGATTCTTGACTTTAGCTCAGGTCATGATCTTATGGTTTGTGGGATAGAGCCCCATGTCTGGCTCTGTACTGTCAGCGTGGAGCCTGCTCGGGATTCTCTCTCTCTCTCTCTCTCTCTCTCTCTCTCTCTCTCTCTCTCTCAAAATAAATAAATAAACATTAAAAAAAATTACCTTATGGAATAGGCATATGGAATGGAGTTTGCAGGAGAGGGCAAAAAGGAAGCAGGAAGTGGAAGGACAGAGTCGTAGGGAAAGAGAGGACGAAAGGGAAGAGAAACAGAAGAAGAGGCAGAGAAGGAGAGAGTAGGGAAGTCGAGGTGGTCTCTTGCACATGGGTCAGAGCAGCATCAAACAGCAGCAGCTCTGTACTGAGAGTACCTACACACAACTCACCCCCCTTTACATGTATCCCTTTCCTCCATGAAGTTAGTGCAAGCAAAGCTCCAGCCTAAGCGATGATGTAATCCTAGCTCCCTTTCCGTCAGGGCTCAGACTTAACCCAATGAGCCTTGGCATTTCCTTGTTGACCTTATTTGTCCAGGGGTAACTGGGCAGGTCACCACAATTGGCTGAAGATGAGGATTTTTATTCTACAGTTGAGGGAACGCATTCTGTCTCCCCACCCAACAGGAATAAGGAAATATGTTGTTCCAGTTACTGCTGGCATCCTTCAGCAGCTGTGAGAGATGACAGCCTGGGGATAAAGCCCACACAGGATAGCCTGCCTGGCACCTCCTTTTCCTCCAGATTTCCTTCTCAAGTGAGCCAGTTTAAGTGAAGGCTTTTGTTACTTGCAGCCCAAAGCATCCTAAGTGCCCCTCTCAGCCTGAGCTTCTCTTGGATGTGTTCCAGGAGCCACTGTCCCTAGATTGGTGCCAGAGAACTACCTAACAAGAGCAAGCCTACCTCTGGTCATAGGTAAGGATCCCAAGTGTATCAGTTATTGTCCCTGCCCAGATCTATGTCCTGTAAGCTTGTAAGTGCATCCTTGGGTAACCCCTCTGGTGTGTGTGTGTGTGTGTGTGTGTGTGTGTGTGTGTGTTTTCCACACCAATAACCAATTCTTCAACTCTCTAGACACCAACTCTGACATCAACTGGGTGTCCTATAATCCAATCCAATTCTGACACTAACTACCTGGAGTTAGCATCAGGCTCCACAGGTCACAGGCTCCACAGGCTCAGTCACACAAGACTGTCCCCACTTCAGATGCCAGAGTCTAAAGTATCAGGTTCCCAGCTCACCTGTGCTTCAGGTCGACTTAGCTACAAAGTCAGGCATTCCCACAACATCCCTCTTTAAGGCTTAATATTTTGCTAGAATGATTCATAGGACTGGGAAAATACTTCACTTATTATTACCAGTTTGTTATAAAGGATAAATCCAGGAATGGCCAAATGGGAAAGAAATGCATAGAACAAGATATGGGGAAGTTATGGAACTTTCATGCCCTCTCCAGGTGCACTACCCCTTCTAACACATCAAAGTGCTCACCCACCTGGGAGCTCTCAAAATTCTGTTGCTTAGGAATTTAATGGAGTTCCAGCCCATAAGCATGACTGATAAAATCATTTGGCTATTGGTGATTAAGTCAGTCTCCTCCTTGGAGGTTTGGAGGCTGGGGCCAAAAGTTCTAACCCTCTAATCATGCCTTGGTCTTTCTGGCAACCAGCCCCCATTCTGAAGCTGTCTAGCCACCAACTCCCCAACCCCACCCCAGCCATCTCACCTCCTTAGCATCCAAAAGACACTCTACCACTCTGCAGATGCCAATGGTTTTAGGAGCTGTGTGCAGGGAACCAGGGACAAAGACCAAATATTTTTTGTTTTATTATGCCACATCTTCATTCTCAGTTCACAAGGTTGGATCAAGTAGACTCCCTCTGCCTCCAGGCGTGAGCATGTGGCAAGGTCTGGCCAGTCAGAGCATTTTATCCACTTGGTCACAGTGGTTGGCTTAGTGCTGAACTCATGACATGAGGCAAATGAATGGGACTCAGAATACGGATTGGAAAGTCCACTGATAAAGAAAAGGACTTTCTCTCTTACTGTGCCCTTTTGGGACTCTGAAAGAATAGAACGTAGCCCCCCACCCCAGATCCTGGGGATTATCTTGCATCCATATGGGGAGAGCCCACCTGAGAACGAACCAAGGCAACAGAGAACAAGGTCAAGAGGGGGTCAAAGGAATTCCAACTCTGATTATCACTTGACCTCCTAGATTCACTTGTGCCTGAGGTTAGACTAAACCCTGGACTTTTCATAAGTGACCAAATATAAACTTCTCTTCCACGTTGAGTTGGATTTCTGATAATTGCCACTAACATGGTCCCAATTAGTATATACTGCCCAGTGACTACAGGGCCACCAACCTGCTGCAGGGCCCTCTTCTACTTCCCTTTTCACTCACTCCAAATCCCAAACTCCTTCATCCTTAGAGTTGCATCCCCTCAGTCAGGAGGAGCTCCCTTCTCTAGGCAAGGCTTAATTTAGGAATCTTTTAAAATGAACTGTATGGGGGATGTTTCAGGATGCCAAGACACACAGTACCCAGGAATAAAGTTTTTCTGTGCCCCCTCTTTTCTCTCTCTCTCTCCCTCTCTCTATACCAGTTAGGGCTGCATTCAGATGCAAATAATGGGAAATCTTTCACACAGTGGTTTAAACAAAGAAGTGCAGAAGAATGCAGAGGGTACACACCCATGCTCCTACACCCTTGTTTCTCCAACCACCCTTGGTGTGTGGCTTCAATGCTTATGACCCCGTGTGGGCAGGAGGAAGGGGAAGATGTGGCAACAGCAGACCCTCCATCCCAGCACCCTAGACAGAAAGTCATCCTAGGTGGAATGTGACCTGAGGGTGGGGATATTTGATTATTTGCTTAGGTATTCCAAGTACTTAGAACTGCTGCTCAATAAACATACTGAATGAATGAATGAGTGAGTGGATGGATGAGTGGATGGGTGGATGGATGGATGGATGGATAGGTGGGTGGGTGGGTGGGTGAGTGTGTGGATGGATGGATGGACGGATGGACGGGTGGACGGGTGGATGGATGGATGAATGTGTGGATGGATGGATGGATGGATGGATGGATGGATGGATAGGTGGATGGTGGGTGGATGGGTGAGTGGATGGATGCTCGTATGGGAAAATTGAGTTTTTATCTCCTTATAGCCCCTACCATGGAATCAGGCAAAGGAGAAGGGACTGGAATGGTCACCAAGTGATCCCTCACATCATCTGCCCCCATTCCCCACCCTGGCACACAGTATCCTGGCATTCATCATGGGCCTTCATCCCCCACAGGTGAGATCTCTTGTAAGATTTCTTTTTTCATATATCTGGGCAGGTCTGGCTGCCTCCACCCCAATTTTTTTAGGGGATTCTTACCCACCACAATGTATGCTTCACTGGGGAGATGTGTTCCCCACTTTTTGTAACTTCTCCTGGGGCAAAAATGAGACCCAACCGTGACTCCAGTGGGGGTAATGGGCTGGCCTCCTCTGCTCTCAGTAAGAACAAGCTGGCACAATTTTTGAACAAGAAATATTGCCATCATTCCTATCCCATTATGCTGTAATAATGTGAGATTTCTCTTTAGCAACAGTGCACACAGTCAATATATCCATTTATATCCATTCCCCCCTCCCCCCCCCCACCAAGAGATGGGGATAGAATCATTAAATGTACAGAGGGTATCAGGACTGTAAAGGAGAATTTGACTGAGGGTCACCAGGAGCCATCACTCCCAATTCTGCTAGCCTGACACCCCATGATACCCCAGTCTCCCTACCCTTGGCTCTACCTGCCACAATCCTACTACCTCAAATAAGCTCCTCAGTGGTCTCCTGATGGATCACCAGAGAAAGCTCTTTTATAATTGCAAAAAGAACGCCACATTTTTGAAACTAAGGGAAAAAAAAAAAAAGCGGAAGGTAAAAACAGTCACCCATAATCCTCCCAAATAAACCAAACTCTTTTCATTTTGCTAGTTCCCTGCTTGGCCTTGTTCACATATGTGGACTTGTTTTACAGAGTGACAGCCAGAGATTTATTTTCTATTCTGCGTCTGCACTCAGCAGTACATCATAAGTGTTCCTCACACTGCTCCAGTTTGTTTGATGTATTAATAGCTTCATAATCATCCTCAAATTTGTTGTACCATAATTTGCTTAACAAATAAATGAGTTTATTTCCAACTCTGTAGCTAATGCTGCAATAAACATCCTTGTGCACATAGCTCATTTTATTTTATTTTCCTTGTTTGGAATGTTGGGTTTGTAAAAATTTTTTAAGTTTATTTATTTGGGGGGGGGGCCGGGGGGGTACACAGAGAGAAGGAGAGAGAGAATCCCAAGCAAACTCCACACTGTCAGCACAGAGCCTGATGCAGGGCTTGAACTCATGAACCGTGAGATCATGACCTGAGCCAAAACCAAGAGGTGCATGCTTAACCAACTGAGCCACCCAGGTACCCCTAGAATGTTGGTTTAAAAGAGCATGAAGGCTGGTGTCAGCTTTGGGCTGGCAGTTTGTATTGCCTTCTCCACTTGAATCCCTAGTCTTCTGACCATAGAAAAACTGCCAAGCCTCTGCTGTCAGTCTCTAGGCTGGCCACAAATGAACTGGAAGCAGCATGGTCCCCTTGCTGGATGACATGTCTGAACAGAGAGATTTGGAATCTCACCTCTATTTGTGAAAGAAACAAGCAGGGTTCACCTGGCAGGTGGGGGGATCAGGCAGCCTGTCAGTTTCCCTGCAACAGATAGGGCCACCTCTGCCTCTTGTGCTCACCAGGCTATGTCGGCTGTTGGGTGCTATCCTCCTCCCTGGATGTTCCCAGGGCAGGCAGACAGTCAAGGTGCCCTGTGTTTCTAGCATCAACATATGGGCACCTGACTCAAACTAGACAGGTCAGATGCTTTCTTCCCGGAGGAAAGCCACACTGATTCAGCCTAACAGCCAAGCCCTGATGAAGACACTCCTCAGTTCCAGCTGCCCAGATCCCCAGAACCTTCCGGGTGCTATTCTTTCTGAGCCCAGCCCTGTCACCTTGTCTTCACCCTGCAGGGAAGACTCACCTTCCGGAAGAGTCTCTTTCTGTACTCGTCTCTCCTGCCTATGAGCAGAGAGCCCTCCCAGACACACCCAGGCCCCCTGGCAGAGGGGTCTGGAGACCCAAGGGACTACTGCTCCAGGCCAGCCTGAGGGTCAGACACGTGGGCCTGCCTGCCCAGGCCATCTCAGCCCAGCTGGCGTCTCCTCTCTCGGCTTCTGGCTCAGTAATTCATCACTCTGACCAAACAAAAACTGACAAAGGACGAAGTGATGCCTTCGATCCTGCTAAAAGGCAGCCACTCCAGCAGCCTGTGCCCACTCAGCACTGGCCCCAAGTACCACCCGAATTCCTGGACAGAGACTTTGGCTTCCCAGGCTGGCTAGGTACCAGGAAGTTGAGACGTCGTCTGAATCCTGAGCCTGGTGCCAACAGGCAGGAGGGAAATGAGTGAGGGGCCTGAGGCCAGGGGGGGCTGGGTTTCCATCCCAGCACCACCCCTCACTCCTCATTAGCTGGAACAAGTTCACTGGGCAAAGAGTTCACTTCTCTGAATTTCACTTTCCTCACCTGCAAAATGGGTGCAATAGTCCCTATTCCTGGGGGTCCTCAGGGAGAATTAAATGCCAGCTTCTGGACCATGACCAAACCTGAGCTGGTTTGTCTCTCATTGTGCCTCTCTCGATGGGGATTTTCACAGTACCGCCTCGGTGGACCCCAGGCTCACTCTCACCTAGGTGGCCCCAGCCTGGGCCAGAACCACAGGCCTGCGCTCCCCATGCCCCTGCCACTACTTCCCTAAGGCCACACTGCCAGGAAAAGGGGGGAGGACGTCTGTTTCCTTCCTCTAGTGGACCTAGAGTGGAGAGCAGCCTGGCCACTTTCATTTTCAAGGTTCCCAGTATATTAAAAATGAGGAAAGTTGCAGTAATTTGGATGTAATTTAAATGCCCACACACAAAAAATCATGATACAATACTTGTTACTGACAAGATAATCGCAGTACTCAATACATTTTCTGGTGGATCACTAGCGGTGCAGTGTGTGTGGGACACACACTCAAAGTCGCCAGACAGCCATCTACTTCTTGTAATCTTCTGAAGCTGGGGCTGTACCCTCAAAGTCTGAGTTTCTAGAAAAAAAAAAAAATAACCAAACACAATGCAGAACAACCTTCACCGGATCCCATTAAAAACAAAAACAAAAACAAAAACAAAAACAAAAATGGGGAGTGCCTGGGTGGCTCAGTAGGTTATGTGCCCAACTCTTGATTTCAGCTCAGGTCATGACCTCATGGTTCGTGAGATTGAGCCCTGCATTGGGCTCTGTGCTGACAGCTCAGAGCCTGCTTGGGATTCTCTCCACCCTTCCCCTGCCTCTCTCCCTCTCAAAATAAATAAATAAACTTTAAAAATTTTTAAAAACAATTTTAAGTAGGGACCAGGGGACATTTTTAGATGTTTGGGAATATTTGAATAGGGTAGGATATGGGATTGTTTTACAGAATTACTCTGTATTGACTTTTTCATCATGATACAGGAGAACAGCCCAAAGAGTCATCAAATGGTCCCCCCCAAAAAATCCTTAAAATTAAAGCAATAGACAAGTAAAGGATTCATGACCAAGTGTTAACCACGATTCAACTCAAGTGGTGGGGTGCAAGTGCTCATTGTGCCATTCCTTCAACTTTTTCTTTTTTATTTTAATTTTTTTAATGTTTTTTTAATTTTATTTTTGAAAGTCAGAGTGCAAACCAGGGAGGGGCAGAGAGAGAGGAAGACACAGAATCCAAAGCAGGCTCCAGGCTCTGAGCTGCCAACACAGAGCCTGACATGGGGCTCGAACCCACGAACCGGGAGATCATGACCTCAGCCAAAGTTGGACGCTTAACCAACTGAGCCACCCAGGCGCCCCCAACTTTTTCTTATACTCAGTTTTCTGTTAATAAAGATGAAAAGTTTGAACTGCCAATTCAATGTTTTGTACATTTTTCTACATAAGATGCTGTTATGCTGTGTCCCTGCTGGCAGTGGGTCACCTGGTGCCTGAGTTTGCAAGATGCTGGCCAGCCTGGGCATCCACGCATTCAGGACAGCTGGCTCTGGATGATGCCTGGCTGGGGTGGGGAGTGCACGGCAGTCTTCACCCAGGCCACAGGTTCCTGTGCTTCCACTAACAATAACAGGGAAAGGGGGGGAGGGATGGTGGTAGCTACAGCTTCCAGGACCCCACCATCCAATTTGCATGTCAGAGCTAATGAGGGAGAGGTCACTAGGTCCACTTCACAGAGGAAAACTTACCCCAGAGGGGACAGGGGCTTGGAGCAGTCACACACTTAACATGTGTCCAAGCAGGGACTTGAGCCAGGAGCACTCTGGTAAACCACTCTCTGAAAAATAAGAAAAAGAGAGGGAAAGACAGAGACAGAGAGAGAGACAGAGAGAGGGAAAGGGAGGAAAGGAGGAAGGGAGGAAGGGAGAAAGCCTGGAGTCATAGTGTGCCAATTTCTGTGGTGTAAATATTACCTTCCATCATGGCCAGTTTCAAGGGATCGATAGTTTAACAAGAGGCTTGCAAAATCCCTGAATACTTAACAGTCAGCAGCACTGATGTCAATCCAGTCCTGGGTGTCTGTCTCAGAAGCCCCTACTATTTTCTTTGTCAAGATTTGCTATACATTGGGGTGCCTGGGTGGCTCAGTCAGTTAAGCGCTGACTTCAGCTCAGGTCATGATCTCATGGTTTGTGAGTTCAAGCCCTGCACTGGGGTCTGTGTTGACAGCTCAGAGTCTCAAGCCTGCTTCTGATCCTGGGTCTCCCTGTCTCTCTGCCCCTCCCCCACTCATGCTCTGTCTCTCTCTCTCTCTCAAAAAAAATTGACATTTAAAATAAAATTTAAGGGGCGCCTGGGTGGCTCAGTCGGTTAAGCGGCTGGCTTCCGCTCAGGTCATGATCTCGCAGTCCGTGAGTTCGAGCCCTGCGTCGGGCTCTGTGCTGACAGCTCAGAACCTGGAGCCTGTTTCAGATTCTGTGTCTCCCTCTCTCTCTGACCCTCCCCCGTTCATGCTCTGTCTCAAAAATAAATAAACGTTAAAAAAAATTAAAAATAAAATAAAATAAAATTTAAAAATATTTGCTATACATTGGTTATCTGCACACCACTTCTACAATTCTGCCACCTCTGTGTTCCACCTATTATAAAATATTTTTCTCTAAGACACTACACTTTGAAAAAACATTTTTTAATGTTTATTTATTTTTGAGTGAGAGACAGAGGCAGAGTGCAAGCTGCGGGGAAGCAGAGAGAGAGAGGGAGACACTGAATGCGAAGCAGGCTCCAGGCTCTGAGCTGTCAGCACAGAGCCCGATGTGAGGCTTGAGCCCGTGAACTGTGAGACCATGGCCCAAGCCAAAGCTGGACACTCAACTGACTGAGCCACGCAGGCACCCCAAGACACATCACTTTTCAATGGCAGTTGACATTACTATCATTGAAAAGCAAAATCACTTGCTAAAACAAATACGATAATATTAAAGCAAACATTTAATTATTAAAATAAAAATGTTTTTTGCACTTCCTGAAATACCCTTTCCATGTGCTGGCCCTGGTGACCCAGAGGCTGTACTCTGGGGACCTGGGGACTGTCCTTCCACCATCTTCCTTCACAGCCATTGCCATGGCATGCCACTGGGTCCTTCAAAAGCAGGAGACAGCAAATCTGATATGAATGTGAAAATGCCCAGCCAGTGTTCAAACATGTCTCTTATACAGTCCAGATGTCCCCAGCAGGGCTCTTCCCCTGTAGCATTTCTTCGGACTTCAGGATCACAGTGTGTTCCTTGTGGATACTAGAGGATACTAGAGGATACACTGTGTATCCTCTAGGTTAGCCTGTCCCATGGGGTTGGACTGGGTTTCCACAATTTCATCTGTGGCCATAGTTTGGCAGGAGGGAGGGGACAGGATGTTGATAATCAGTAGCAGTGGCAGGGACAGCCAATATGGACCAAGACCTTCAGGGGACAGAGCCCCAGCAGGGAAACAAAAAGAGAGGCTCATTCAGGGCTGAAGGGAGGACCAAAGCTAACTCCGTGCCTACCCTATGATGCAGTCATTCCACTCCAGAGTATACACTTTCAGAGAGGCGTGCACCTGTCCACCAAAAAATACACACATTCTTCAAAACAGCTCTGCTCAGAATAGCCTTAGATGGAAATCAATAGAAATCCCCACCAACAGGAAAACGGACAAATCAATTGCAGAATACTATACAGCAAAGACAGAGAGGCACCTCCTACTACTACATGCAAAAGAAGAAAGAATCTCACAAACATAATGTTAAGAAAAAGAAACCAGACAACAAAGAGTATGCATTGTGTAATCACACATTGTAATCTATTTCAATAAAGTCCAAAAACAGGCAAGCTACCCTATGGTACCAGAAATCAGAATAGTGGGGTGCTAATGACTGAAAAGCCCAGAAAAGCTTCAGCGGTGCTGGTAATGTCCTCCACCTTGATCTTGATGGTGGTTACAATGGCATTTTCACTTACTAAATATCTGTTGAGCTGTATATACAGATTTTTTTTTTTTTTGCAAACTTTGGGGCACCTGGGTAGCTCAGTTGGTTGAGCATCTGATTTAGGCTTAGGTCATAATATTGCAGTTCGTGAGTTTGAGCCCCGCATGAGGCTTGCTGCTATCAGTGCAGAGCCCACTTTGGATCCTCTGTCCCCTCTCTCTCTCCCCTCTCCAGCTCATTCTCTCTATCTCTCTCAAAATAAATAAAAAGTTAAAAAAGAGATTTTTTGCACTTTAGTAGAGGTATGTTATATTTCAATATAATATTTAATAAATAAGTGTAAGAAAAAGGCATAAAATACCAATGTAGTGCTAGATGAAGAGAATGAGAAATAGAATGGCATCTATAACCAGCATTGTTGAATGATTAAGAAGCACATGTACACCAAACAATACCACACATTTGGGGAGAACACAAGAGATCTACATTAAGCGCATTCATATGGTTACCTGTGGGGAGGCAAGGGGAGTGAGGGGTAGTGATAAAGGAAACCATAAATAATAAGTTAAGATCAGGGCCTTACTAGGACCAGAGGGGATCCTGTGCCATTAGAGAAAGAAAAGGAAGAGAGGGGCACCTGGGTGGCTTAGTCTGCTAAGTATCTGACTTCAGTTCAGGTCATGATCTCACAGTTTGTGAGTTTGAGCCCTGCGTTGGGCTCTGTGCTGATAGCTCAGAGCCTGGAGCCTGCTTCGGATTCTGCGTCTCTCTCTCTCGCTCTCTGCTCTTCCCCTGCTTGTTTTCTGTCTCTCAAAATTAAAAAAAAACAACAACATTTTTTTAATTAAAAAAGAAAGAAAGAAAGAAAAAGGAAGGAAGGAAGGAAGGAAGGAAGGAAGGAAGGAAGAAAAGAAAGAAAGAAAGAAAGAAAGAAAGAAAGAAAGAAAGAAAGAAAGAAAGAAAGAAAGAAAAAGAAAGAAAAGGAAGAGGAAGAAGAGAAATTTTGAACAATCCTTTGAGGTTTCCAACACTGCCCAGGGAACCCAGCTTGGGCTCTGATCCCTGGAGCTGCCCCCCCACCCCTGCTTTACCCCCCATGCTATGTAGTATGTTTTATACACAGGCTACCCCTGTTTATGGCCCTGGGAAGGTAGACATTGCTCCCAGAGGAGCCAGATACATTTCTAAAGGACTGAAGCTCTTCCTTTCCAGCACCTGGAGATGGAAGGCTGGGAACTGGGCCCGCTGGAACTCTGAGGAGAAGGGGAATTTGAGATGGGGCTTACGGGTGACCTGGGATTTCTTGGGAGATGGGAGCAGAGGGAGGGGAGAGTCATGTGTGGAGCCAGAGAAAGGGCTCCCTCCAGAGGAGGGAGGCCTATGGGTATCTACCTTCTAGACCCCTGTGGGCCTCAGTCAGACCTCAACACACACTCCTCATGAGATCTGCCATAGCCAAATACCACCTGTGCTTTTATTTACTTGGTACTTTTCATCCACTCACTTTTTTTTTCACTTAAATGTTTTATTTATTTACTTATTTATTTTTACCTGAATGTTTTAAAAGGTAGTTTTGTCCCAAGTGTTGACGTGGATGTGGAGAAACGCGAGCCCTTGCGTATTGTTGGGGAGACTGTAGATGGTGTAGCCACTACGGAAAAATGGTATGGCAGTTACTCAAAAAATTAAACATAGAACCTGTTATATGATCCAGCAATCCCACTTCTGGGTATTCATGCCAAAGAGTTGAAATCAGGATCTTGAAGAGATATTTACACACCCGTGTTCATAGCAGCATTATTTGCAGTAGCCAAAAGGTGGAAGCAAGCCAAGTGTCCATCAGTGCTTGGATAAACAAAATGTGATGTATACATACAATGGAACATTATTCATCCTTAAAGATGAAAGAAATTCTAACACATGCTACAACATGGATGAACCTGGAGGACACTATGCTGAGTAAAATAATCCAGTCACGAAAGGTCAAATACCAACAAAACAAAACAAAACACCCTAAGGGTCAAATACTGTGTGACTCCATGTATGTGGGTCTATAAATGTCTGTATGTATATGCCCGGAGTAGTGAAATTTTATAGAAACAGAAAATAGAATTGTGGTTCCAATGGGCTGGGGGAGGGGGCAGTGTAAAGTTATTATGTAATGGGGACAGAAATTCAGTTTTACAAGATGAAAAGAGTCTAGAAGATGGATGGTGGTGATCCTTGCACAACAATGTGAATGTACCAAATGCTGCTGAACTGAACACTTACAAATGGTTTAAGATGATTTTGGGTTTTTGTTTGTTTGTTTGTTTTTCATATTTTTTACTGCAATTTTAAAAAGGTAGCTTTGGGGGCGCCTGGGTGGCACAGTCGGTTAAGCGTCCGACTTCAGCCAGGTCACGATCTCGCGGTCCGTGAGTTCGAGCCCCGCGTCAGGCTCTGGGCTGATGGCTCAGAGCCTGGAGCCTGTTTCCGATTCTGTGTCTCCCTCTCTCTCTGCCCCTCCCCCGTTCATGCTCTGTCTCTCTCTGTCCCAAAAATAAATAAACGTTGAAAAAAAATTTTTTTTAAAAAGGTAGCTTTGTACCACAACTATACATGAAAAGACCCTTTTCCTAAAGGAAACTGTCCATAAAATTAAAAACAATTACACTCCCAAATGAAGGTGGTGTTACTAATGCCCTAGATGTCCATACCTGCTGAGGCTATGCACAGAGACCACCTCATCCCACTCTATTTTAAAGGGCGATTGAAAAGTGCCAGAGAAGTGTTGTAAGTTCTCTAGAAGCAACTCTCTACTTGACAAATTCAAAGTATGGGTACCACATGCTTTAAAAGACCCTTTTAGGGGAGCCTGGGTGGCTCAGTCGGTTAAACGTCTGACTTCAGCTCGGGTCATGATCTCACAGTTTGTGAGTTCGAGCCCTGCATCAGGCTCTGTGCAGACAGCTTGGAGTCTGGAGCCTGCTTCAGATTCTGTGTCTCCCTCTCTCTCTGCCCCTCCCCTGCTCACACTGTCTCTCTTTCTCCCCCAAATAAATAAATCTTGACAAAAAAAATTTAAAGAGAAAGAAAGAAAGAAAGAAAGAAAGAAAGAAAGAAAGAAAGAAAGAAAGAAAGTGCCTTGTAAGGACAAGGGAGTAGAGTGAATGAGCCTGGCAAGCAGAGGCAGGCCAGGGCATGCCAAGTAAGAGCAGAGCCCAGAGACCCCCAGCAGGCCTGGGGCTATCTGGACAGGGAACTCCCTGTCTCAGGTGCCTGAACATGAGTACCTTGGTCCCAAGAACTCTTTGCTCTGTGAGAAGGGAGTCCAGCTGCTGGAGGGCCAAAGTAGATACCTCTTCAAGCACTAGGCCCAGGGAGGAGGCCTGGTTATTTTGGTCTAGGGGCTGTACATCCTGGAGGCAAGTAAATAAAGCCAGCCTCAATATGGCCAGGACAGACTAGACAGATGATTGCAGTGAGGAAGGAAGGGAAGATTTAGAGGGAGAAATTGTGAAGGACATTGCTAAGAGTCACCCAAGGACATCTGATATTTTAGCCAACACTGCATCCACACCCTTTGCCTGGAAACAGTGCCTCAGTTTTCCTTTGGGAAGTGGCCTCTTTCTGGGATACTCAGTACATTTGGTTGGGCAAGGCTGACTCCACCCCTTCCCACTATAGGACGCAGGGAATCCAGGCAGGGCCAGTCAGAAGATGCTATCCTACTATTAAGTATTGATCCAAAGGATACAAACACACAGATTCAATGGGACATATGCACCCCAATGTTTATAGCAGCATTATCAACAATAGACAAATGATGAAGAGAGCCCAAATGTCCACCAACAGATGAATGGATAAAGAAAATGCGGTACACACACACACACACACACACACACACACGTAATGGAATATTACTCAGCCATCAAAAACAATGAAATATTGCCATTTGCAATAACGTGGATGGAACTAGCAAAAAGAAGTCAATCAGAGAAAAACAAATACCATATGATTTCACTTATATGTGGAATTTAAGAAACACAACAGATGAGCATGGGGAAAAGAGAGGAGAGGGAAACAAACCACAAAAGACTCTTAATGATAGAGAACAAATTGAGGGTTGACAGAGGAGGTGGGTGGGGGATGGGCTAGATGCGCTATGGGTATTGAGGGCACCTGAACACTGGGTATTGTATGTAAGCGATGAATCACTGAAGTCTACTCCTGAAACCAATATTGCACTGTATGTTAACGAAAATTTAAATTAGAAAAAAAAGATGTTATCCTTCCTCCTCATCAGGGAGCAATAATGAGTACACTGCCTGACATTCTATAAGCTACTGGATTCAGCCACACCTGACTCAAGACCCATCCCACTCTTTCGTTTATGCTTTAGAAGGGTACACAGCTGACAAGATGTGTGTGTGTGTTGTGGGCTGGGGAGGTCTCACTACAATCTCCTCTTTATCCAGAGAATCTGGAGGTTTCATCTCCTGTAGACAGCCTTCTCAACCCCACAGGTGTTCTTACAGTTCTTACAGTGTTGCGGCCCCCCGCGTCCCATTACAGAGGCACATCCCCTCCCCTGCGTTCCTTGGTGTCAATTATATGTGACTGGTAGTTGATCAGCTGAAATCTGAACTCTTCACAGACATCTAACTTTTAAAATTAATTGTAAAGTTTTAACTGTTTTTCTTTTTGCATTTTCGTCGCAAACTTTTCCACAGGCCTTTATAAAGCTCCCAGGCTCCGCACCCTGTGCCCATCACGCCGGGACTAACGGACATGGCTGTGTAAGCTCCGGCCCTCGTGCAGGCGGGCGGGAGCGAGCAGGGCATCGCACGCAAGCGCGCGGGGGCGGGGCTGAGCCCCAGGCCTGCGCGTTGCCGCTCGGCCCTCCGGGAGGGGGCTGGGCAGAGCGGCGGCGAGCGCGCCGGAGGCGGCAGCCGGGCTAGCGGGACTTTGTGTTTCACACACCCTGCTTCAGGCGCATTCTCTTGGAGCCGCCTCCCAAACCCCGCCGCTGCCAAGCGAGGCGCCCCCGAGTCGGCGGGACCAGACCCGTGGGATGGAGTGGGCCCGTCCCCACGGCCCTCAGGGGGCCCCGAGGAGACCACCGCGAGCTGCCTGACCCGCCGTCCTCGCCCAGGGGCCCATGGGCGCGTCCCCGCGGGCGGGCCGCAGACGTG